TATATATATAATTTAGAACTCTTAGAACAAATAAATTTTATTACCAAAAACATTTATCTTGACTATCATGTAAAATTATAAAATTATATGTTATTTATACTCATTAATTGTTGTAGTTATTATTACTATTTAATGAGAAAACTCATTAATTGTGTGTGTATTTTAAAAATGTTAATTATAAATATTCTTCACTATATTTTCATTAATTTGAGGTTTAGATAAGTTTGCTTTTAATAAAAAAAAATTATGAAATTGATAGGAAAATAAGGGCAAAGGAAAAAAATTACACAAATCTTTATATAAACGAGAGAAGCAAAGTCAAAATTCTATTTTATTAACTTCCATAAATATTTCAATATTTCTAGTTTAATAGAGTAAAATTTACAAATTAAGCTGTGTTTGGAAATCCATTCACAATTTTTTAAACCGAGATTATCACTTTCCAATATAGTATCCAGTCTGAGAAGGAAGAGATTTGGTGGATTGGAAACATACACCTACTTATGTTGAATTCGTGTGTTAATTAGATTCTCAATTCAGTCTAATTAAGATTGTTTCTCTAGTAAAAAAAAGACATGTAATCTTAAAACAATAACAAAAACAAAAAACGCACACTTTCACAAGCAAACAGTTACTTCACATTGATTTTTTCACCTTCTAGTATACATCGAAACTCATCTCGTACTAAACTGCCCGTTGATTAAGGGAAGATGATGGCGAGAATACCCTACGAAGACTTTTATAAAAGTCAGCATTTTTTATGTTTTAAAATATAATATAATATTACTGTTAACATTATTTTATTGGTTGAAACTGGTTGCACTTGTACCAGAAAAAAACCATCCCTTGTACTTTTTCTTCCTTGTGTGCAATAAGTCAACAAAAATAAGTCAGCACCAGTATCATTCAATTCATATACAACCTAAAGAAAGGTAAGCAATCATAATTTTCTAATTTCATTCAGGGCATAATAATCAATAACGCACTTTCGAAATATATAGTAAACCAACGCTCTTAATTTTCTGTAACTCATTAATGACAAACCAAAACGACTTTGTAGAAAGATATCTATCTCATGATCCGTCACAATGAATGAACGCCCAGTATATATTAGACATTAGTATTCAATACTTTTATCAAACATTGTCGAATTCATTCATTTAATTTGGTTCACAATTCATCGTGTTTTTTTTTTTCTTTCTTGTTTTACTTTTCCTTATGTGAAGGAACGTGAACAAGTCATAAAATTGAGGATGAGAAAAAAAAAAAGGCAAATCTGAAGAAGATTCCCACTTGATCTCCAAAAGAAAGAAAAACTCGTTTATGACAATTCTCACGTTCCGTTAGGCGCAAAAGTGGACCAAGACCAAACAACACGTCCCAAACGCTTCCTCGAAGTGTATATATATAAAACACCACTCACCCTCCTTTAAGTCACACATTCACAACCGACAATGGCAAAAGCAAAACCTTGTTTGGCTTATCTCTCTGCCGTTTTTCTTCTTCTATCTGTTTCCACTTCGTTGTCGGCACCAGCACCAGCACCAGCACCAGCTTCGTCACTCTACGACACATTCCTTCAATGCCTCACGCAACACACAAACTCCTCAACCCAACTCTCCAACATTCTCTTCGATCAGACCAACCCCAGTTTCCCCTCCGTCCTCCAAAACTACATCCGAAACGCGCGTTTCAACACCTCCTCCACGCGGAAACCCTTACTCATCGTCACTCCCCTCACAGAATCGCACGTCCAGGGTGCTGTAACATGCGCCAAAACCGTCAACATTCAACTCAAAATCCGAAGCGGAGGACATGATTACGAGGGTATCTCCTACATCTCCGAAGAACCCTTCATGATCCTCGACATGTTCAACCTTCGCGCAATCACCGTCGACATAGAAAACGAGGTTGCCGTGGTCCAAACTGGTGCCACGCTTGGCGAGGTTTATTATAGAATCTGGGAGAAGAGTAAAGTTCATGGCTTCCCTGCTGGGGTGTGTCCCACTGTTGGTGTGGGTGGCCATATCAGTGGAGGAGGGTACGGTAACATGTTGAGAAAATATGGTTTATCTGTTGATAACGTCATCGATGCTGAAATGGTTGATGTCAAAGGAAATCTTCTAAACAGAAAATCCATGGGGGAGGATCTCTTCTGGGCTATTAGAGGAGGTGGAGGAGGCAGTTTTGGTGTCATAGTGTCTTTCACTATCAAACTAGTTCCCGTGCCCGAAACGGTTACCGTTTTTCGCGTTGAGAAGACTTTGGAAACGAATGTCACCGCCACCGACCTCGTCGTGCAGTGGCAGCAGGTGGCGCCGACCACCGACGAGAGGCTTTTCATGAGGCTGTTATTGCAGCCGGTGAGTTCCAAGGTTGTGAAGGGGACCAAAACGATTAGAGCCTCGGTTGTGGCGTTGTTCCTCGGAGAGGCTAATGAGGTTGTGTCGATTTTGGAGAAGGAGTTTCCTCTCCTTGGGTTGAAGAAGGAGAATTGTACTGAGGGGAGTTGGATTGATTCCGTTCTTTGGTGGAACGATGACGAGAGTCTCAAAAATGGTGATAAGCCTGAGACGCTGTTGGATCGGAATCTGAACTCCGCTGGTTTTCTTAAAAGAAAATCTGATTACGTTCAGAACGCTATTTCACGAGACGGGTTGGAGTGGTTATGGAAGAGGATGATCGAGTTGGGGAAAACGGGGCTTGTGTTTAACCCCTATGGAGGGAAAATGGGCGAGATTGCTTCCGATGCGACGCCGTTTCCTCACCGTAAGGGGAACTTGTTCAAAATTCAATACTCTGTGAATTGGGAAGATCCTTCTCCTAGTGCGGCTACGAATTTCACGAACGAGGCTAAGAGGTTGTACAGTTACATGACTCCTTTTGTGTCCAAGAGTCCCAGAAGCGCCTTCTTGAATTATAGAGACCTTGACATTGGGGTCAATAGCTTTGGTGAGAATAGCTTCCAAGAAGGGGAGGTTTATGGAAACAAGTACTTCAACCACAATTTTGAGAGGCTTGTCAAGGTTAAGACTGCGGTTGATCCTCAAAACTTTTTCAGGAATGAACAGAGTGTCCCTGTGCTTCCGAGCTAAACGTACCACAATATTGCTCAGTGCTTTCTTAGTTGTTACCTTTTTTTTCTTTTTTTCTTCATATAATTAATTACTTCTGAATGGTTCTCCACTCCAATACTCCTATAGGTCCGTGACACCTTTCGGTCATTGATTCGATTTTTATAGCATTCAATTTCAAAGTTTGGATACACATGTTAGGTATCTGCGTACGGTTATATATTTATTTTATTTGTTCTTTTCTTTCTTGTTTCTTTTTGCTCCTGTTTGCGCGAATCATGTGACTTGGGATTAACATAAAAAAGTTTTAATTAAAAGAAGTGATTCAGTTAATGACGATTAACTAAATTGTACGACAAAAGTTAGTCTTTAATTAATAAAGCCCATAAATACTTTATATTTGTATCATATAATAATGAGAGAAAAAAAAACATTGACTTGTGTTGGCGGCGATTTTTTTTTCTGAAATATACTTTTTTTAAAAAAAATTACCAAAAAAATATCTATTACACATTATTTATCCAAATAGATCTCTTTGCTGTTTAAACTCAGAATTCGATTTCCAGGGAACTAAATTCTGAGCAGTGTTATTATTATTATTATTATTTTTTTGCATTTTAATTTCTAAAGAAGAGGAAAACTGGATTAAGAACAGGCCGTTTCCGTTCCAGATAAAAGATATACACATGATGAATGGATCAGAACAGACCGTTCTCTAAGGAATGCAAGTAGAACGGGTCGTTCTCCAAGAAAAACGACCCGTTCTAATTACAAAATTGATACATTCCTGAACCCAAAACAAAAAAAATAAATAAATAACACTGCTCAGAATTTGATTCCTATTCTGAGTGTGAATAGTAAAAAGGTCTATTTGGGTAAATAATGTGTAATAGATATTTTTTTGTAATTTTTTTTAAAAAAATATTATTTGAGAAAAAAATTCTGTTGGCGGCACTTGGGAAATCAGTTAAATCCTCATATTGAAATGAAATGGAAGTTTGAGTTGTACTCTTCTTTGGTGGAATGATCCGAACTATGCTTGTGTCACATGCTGACCACATCTTGGGGCTCTTGTTTCGTGTTGTCGTTTTGTCTTTAATTTTCTCGTGACGTTGTCTCCTGATTTTTTAATTTGTGATGTTCTGCAGTGGAGTTTTAACTTATACAATCTTTAATTTAATTTTATAATTCCGCCTGTTTTAATTAAACCAGACATACGAAATTACCTAGCGATTTCGATGACAGGATTGTTTTAAAATTAAAAAATTAATTAATAACATTAGATTGTTTTAAATTTACATATTTTTATTTAAAAAATTACTCCCAACATGATTATTGTGCTCTTCCAGAACGTTCCCTCCTTTTTCCTCTGCCACATTCTCTTCCATTCATTATTGTGCACTGATTTGTCTTACAATCATTCTCACCGCGTTAAGGTTCCCTCCTTTTGCCTTTACAGTTCAGGTCCTCTCACTTGAGTTACTCTTTCATTCTATCTTTAAAAGTTTAGCAAATTTTATCTATTTCAATTTAATTATTATTTTATGATATTAATATTTTTTTTATTCTTTTTCTATATTTATTTTATTTGTGAGAATTCAAAAAATTAAAAAGTATATTAAGATTTTACATACTTTTTAGACAAATTAACTGTATATCTTAAGTCCTAAATTGAAATGGAATAGAAGAAATACTTTTTTTTTACACACTTTTTATTATCAATTGAGAATTTTTATTATTTAAAAATTATAAAACAAATTATGGACTTCAAATTTTATTTAACGAACATCTTTCATAATTTTATTGTTTTGAATAAATTTTAACCAATAATTAAAAAAAATTGTATTACAAAGAGTTTTTCAAAGAGTGAAATTTTCGCTCTTGTTTATTCTAATCACATGCACAATGAATTGAAGAGTACATAAGTTTCACCATCTGGTTCACTGTCCTTCAAATTCATCAATCCGTTTCACCATCTGGTTCAACTATATCGCAATTTTAGCGTTGGGATACTCTGCACATTTCTGAAATAGTTTTCGGGATCAATCTCAGTTTTAATCTTCACCAACCTATAGAAGTTGTTATCGAAGTACTTAATACCGTAAACCTCCCCTTCTTGGTAGCTATTGTTACCTTGGTGATTATTAATACCAATATCAAGGTCCCTATAATTCAGAAAAGCACTCCTTGGATTTTTGGAAACAAATGGGGTCATGTAACTGTATAACCTTCTTATCTGTGTTGTGAAGTTCTTCTCTGCAGCGACTCCCGGTTCATCCCAATTCACAGAATACTCAATTTTGAACAGATTTCCTGCTCGGTGAGGAAATGCTGTAGCATTTGCTGAAATCTCATCCATTCTTCCACCATAAGGGTTGAAAACAAGACTTGTTTGTCCCAACTCAATCATCTTTTTCCAAATCCATTCTAACCCATCTTTGGAAATTGGATTCTTCACGTAATCTGATTTTCTTTTGAGGAATTTTGCCGAGTTGAGTTTTCTGCCAAGAAGAGCATCAGGGTGGTGAAGACCAGCCCAAAAAAGTGCAGATTCAATCCAACTCATTTCAATGCATTTCTCCTTCTTTAGACCCAAAGTTGGAAACTCATTCTCTAAAAGTGACACAAGCTCATCCACTCCTCCCAGAAACAAACTAGTAACCTCAGCCCTAACGGTTTTGTTCCTCTCTCCAACGTTGGATTTCACAGGATGTAACTGCAGCCTCATGAAAAGCCTCTCATCAGTGTGTGGTGCAACCTGTTGCCATTGCACAACAAGGTCAGTGGCATTTTCTTCCAAAGTCTTATCAACCCTAAAAACAGTAACAACTTCTGGCACAGGAACCAACTTAATGGTGTATGATAATATGACCCCAAAACTCGCTCCTCCACCTCCTCTAATAGCCCAAAAAAGTTCTTCCCCCATAGATTCCTTGTTTAGAATCCTACCCTTGACATCAACAATTTGAGCATCAATGATGTGATCAATAGATAACCCATATTTTCTCATCATGTTACCATACCCTCCTCCACTAAAATGACCACCGACACCAACAGTGGGACACACCCCTGCGGGAAAACCATGAACATTACTCTCCTCCCATATCCTATAATAAACTTCTCCGAGTGTGGCACCAACTTGGACTACAGAAACCTCGTTTTGCACGTCCACTGTGATGTTGCGGAGGTTGAACATGTCAAGCATGATGAAGGGTTCATCAGAAGTGTACGATAAGCCCTCGAAGTCATGGCCACCGCTTCTAGTTTTGAGTTGAATGTCAATGCTTTTGGCACAAATTACAGCTGTTTGGACGTGAGATTCTTGCAGTGGTGTGACTATGATTAAGGGTTTTGGTGAAGAGCTGGTGTTGAACCGGGCGTTGTGAATGTACGCACTGAGAATGGAAGCATAGGAAGCGTTGGTTTGAGCAAAGACTATGTTAGAGATGTTGGGAGAGTTAATGTTGTTTCTTAGACAATCAACAAAAGTTCCATATACTGAGTCTGTTGTTGGGGAGGCACATGATGAATGAAATGAAAGTAAAAGCACAATAACAAGAGGGGCTATGGAAGCCACGAAAATAGTGGACAAAGGACTTTGTTTTTCCATTTTTGGTTGTGCAACCGTTTAGATGAAATGAAATAGAGAGGGCAAAGTACGGTTGTAATAATGAAAGAGAGACAGGCTGGGACGCATTAGCCCAAGGTTCTTTTTGGATCATTGTTTCATAATTTTTGACGACCATACTTTTGTTGAGGGACACTAGCGAATGATGAAGATTCTTCTTTGAGCTTTGCCGTTTGCTTAGCCGGCGCTTGTTCAAGTTAATTACCTTTAATTTCTATGTGAATTAAAGACACTGCACCAACTATTTGGCCATAAGAAATGAGAAATTAATCGCATATCTAACTAACTGTTTATACTTGATATATAGACGTCCAATACCGGTGCATGAAGATTAATTAATTAATATTGAACACATAAGAATAAATATTATTCTTTTAAATATGATTTTGGTCATTTACCAGTATCATAATTTTAGGGTCGTCACGATTATTTTCTCTAGTGAAAGCACATTATCACGTTCATTGTATTAAAGAAATGTAAACTTCCAATGAAACCATGTTGTAAAATATATTTATGAGAGAAAAGCATCCTAATTACTTGAACTATTTCATTCTCTCGGAAGAGAGCTTAGTTTGCCACCGCACATGTTAGTCCTACGCACCCGACTAAAAGTTAATTGTTTTTAGTAGAGATTACTAATTAAGGTTTTTATATATATATATATAT